CCTAGCATGCTCTAGCTAGATGGTTAGTAAATATTCTCAAACCTTTGCATGATAAGATAGTGAAATATAGCGTCAAAGATGTATTTGAATTCGTAGACAAAATAAAAGATATTAATATCAAGGACAAAACCATGATATCTCTGGACATAACATCGTTATTCACAAATGTACCTCTAATAGAAACAGTTAATTACATATGTGAACAAGTGGACAAGCAGTCGATAAACATTGGAATCCATATTGAAATCCTAAAAGAATTGATATTAAGATGTACCATGAATGTAAACTTCAAATTTGACGGCACGCTTTACAGGCAAGTGGACGGGGTGGCAATGGGCTCCCCATTGGGTCCCATTCTGGCTGATTTCTTTCTAAGTAAGCTAGAAAATGGACCTCTGAAAACCTTATCAGTAAGCTCTCATTTTATTGCCGATAAATGGATGATACCTTCATTCTTTGTGATAATGGTTCTGATAGGAGTACAATAATTACTGAATTCAATGAAGTACATTCGGCTATGAAATTCAGATGCGAAGAGGAATGCCAAGACAGAATTGCCTTCCTGGATGTCCTACTTACAAGAAAACCAGATGGTAGCATAAAAAGAAATTTGCATAGAAAAAGCACTTGGATAGGACAATATACACATTTTCACAGCTTCGTTCCTATCAAGTACAAAAGAAATTTAGTGAAGACCCTCAGCCACAGAGTTAGAGCTATATGCTCAGAAGAAGTAATTGAAGATGAATTAAGCACTGTATATGATACTTTGATCGAAAATGGCTATCCTGACAAATTTATCAAGAAACACATGACAAAGAAAGCGGAAAAGGACTACTCACTGTCTGTAAACAAGAAGCCACTTTATATACGACTACAATTTAAGGGCGATATACCAAGTGAGATAATTACGAAGAAATTAAGAAAATCAGTTCAAAGAACTTTTAATGCTGGTGAACTACACGTATTATTCTCTACACGACCGATGGTGCTACCTCGACTGAAAGATGAAGTACCTAGACTAGCCACTTCAAATTGTATCTACCAATTCAACTGCGCTTGTGGGGCGAGTTATATCGGCCGTTGCTCTAGGAACTTGATTTTTCGTGCTCGAGAACATCTCCCACTATGGCTAAGTAAAGGTGTAGTTAAAACCATTAACAGTTCGATATTAGACCATCTGGTCCAAACCGGCCACAAAGCCAGCCAGCCTTGAAGAATCCTTCTCCATCATCTACCGGGTGCCTAATAAATTGCCAAAATCATCGAAGCACCGCATGCTCCAAACAGCAGAGGCTATCGCAATTCGCCTCAAACAACCAGTGCTCTGTGTTCAAAAGAAGCAAGTCCAGCCCCTACTACTGCCCTGGCCTTCAGTAGAAACTATAAACTCATGGATTTGTAATATTATCTTTCCTAATTTTTCTGACATTCAGTTTATTGTTATGTTGATGCTATTGAACTGTAATCTACTGATATTATTGATTCGCGGTTATTTAAACATTAATGTTGTTCATAACACTAATTCATTCACTACTATTATGTATATATAACTGTAAACCCTGATGATGAAGTTATCGAAAAGAGTATTCTTTGTTCAGTATCCATTCTTTTGAAAATTCTGATATTATTTATCTGAATGGCTAGCTTTCTTTTATTTCTGACTGTTGTATGGGGCATTTTTCGTTAGTATGATACTTGTTAAGCTGTCACGTTAAAACTGAGTTCCTTCGCTAGCCATTGGTCATCACTGGGGAGTAACTGCAACCTCATGAAGGTTAGTGTTTCGTTAAAGATTTCAGAAAACTACTTTAGTCAATGCTAAATTCAAAAATTTTATTAGTAGACCATCATCTGGTGTGGAGAATACAGTACACTGAGGTGTTGTCAAGGCGACCAAGTACCTCCCTAATGTATTTCATATTGGGCCTGTTAATGCTGAGTGTACACTGTATTTCTTGTGATCATGTGATGAGTCATGATTTAATCGATCCTACTATTCTACTTCTGTTGTTGTGAATTTTAGAGGTGTGGGTGATGAGTCGTGTAATTGCTTTGGTATTACTATGAGCAGTGAACTATTCTTCATAAATGATACAAAGATTAATACAGTTTCATTGCATCACAGTATTTAGGCTTTATTATGGCAGTAACTTATGGTATATATATATGATTCATATTAGTTTGTTCATTGGATATACCACACAGGGGAGCAGTATTAGTTGTTGGACGACGTTTTAAACATAATTTATTGTTCATAATCGACTCAGTTGTAGCTACATAACTTCGAAACTTGATTTTTAAAGTTCTTTTTCTTCCTTCCCATTTGTCATAGGAGTAGTAGAATTTTCCGGATTTCCCGGTAAGGCGCTGAATCATTCCTACTGCACGTATTCTCAGTTAATTCAGAGAGTAAAGCTTCAGTTATCAACCTCTGTCTCTCTCTCCATCCTATTATATTAGATTTTAAGCCTATCATCTCTCATCCGATTGTATGGTTGAGTGTAACTGCAGTGTAGTGCTATAGTTGAGCTATTTCCTAGATTTCATATCTTATTAGAGCCAACTAGCCAAGATTTTGCTAGGCTTTTTTGCTCCTCTAAGTGATCCTGTACTACTTTATGTATGTATTTCTTGTTTCCCGTGTGTAAGACACATGTGGAATTTTTAGCAATCTTTTGAACAGAATGTATTAATTACGTGTGATTTTTTTATTTCCTTCACGTTCCCCAGTGGAACATAGGGCTTGAAGTTGCTGTAGCAGTGCTTATTTCACAGGATGGGGTTGCTAACCTCATGCCCAACCCTTCCTCTTCATCAGCGTTATTTCTGGCTTAGCGAGGTAAAGGAGTGCGTCGGCCGGTGATCGAACCCCGGACCATGTGCACGGTCGGCGAGCGTCCTAACCACTATGCCACCGACGCATACATGTGTGATTACATCTCCCGAATAATTCAGCTTTCACACTATTCTAGAAGGGGACTACGCAAAAGGGTGTTTCAAACTTATTTTATTATTCGTCAAGTGATAAATTTTGTTTGCATCAGAGAATTCTACATAACATTGCAATCAAATCACTCAACTAGTGAACTTTCCATCTTGTCTAGTGAATCAGACCTACAGTGGTTTAATCATTCAGTCATGTCTATGTAAACAGTGTTTTATAATCAGGCATATTTTCAAAATTTTTTACGGCGAACGGTGGGACACTACAGTTCTAGAAATAATAAATCAAACCAAATACCATAATTTTTTTTACTGTTTATGCTGTACTTGTAAATTGTGTACAATAGTTCAAGCTGGACAATTTGGTACTGTATACAAAAATATTTTCCAGAATAGGGTATCATGTGCCTAAGTCATAGTATATTTATATTTTTTTTGTTATTTCCTGTTTCAGTTTTTATGTGCAGTGATTGATAAGTATTCAAGGTAAGTTATATATACCTAGGTAGTTACTTGTTACTTCATATCAGCATAGATGGCGGCTTTTCCTACATGTAAACTATACTGATGGTCAAATCATTTAAGATAGCCTTGGGTTTGTTGACTATTACTGGAGTGGTGAACAAGGACTGAAGTGAAAAAATGAATCGTGGCAGGCCTCAGGACAGTAGCTTGAAAATTACCATTTCCATGTCCTATCATCAACCTTACTCAACAGCTGTACGACAACGGCACATGTCAAGTGATCCACAACGGAAAACTCAGCGAGGCGTTCGGAGTAAACACAGGAGTCAGACAAGGGTGATTATTATCACCAATGATATTCCTAATTGTGGTGGACTGGATTATGCGTCAGACAGTGGGAAACGAGAAGACAGGGATATCCTGTCCTGACCGACGTGAAGAACCTAGAAGACCTGGATTTCACGGATGATTTATGTTTGATGTCACAAAAAATCGAAGACTTACAAGCGAAAACCGACAAACTGGTCGAAGAAGCAGCAAAGACAGGACTCCAGGTGAACATAGACAAGACGGAGGTTATGAAAATAACCAACCAACCAACAACAACAACAGTGGCAACATCCAGCGCCAATCACCATCAACGGGAGGGATTTGAAAGAGGTTACTTCATTCACTTATCTAGGGAGCATTGTCTCAACTACAGGAGGAACGGACGGACGAGGATGTCAAATCGAGAATCGGGAAGGCGAGAAACACATTCATCAACCTGAAACCAATCTGGAAATCTTCGTCACTCAGCCTGCATCAACAACAAAATTCGGATTTTCAATACAAACGTCAAGTCAGTTTTGCTATACGGATCAGAAACTTGGCGCGTCACAAAGAATATTTCCAACAGGTTGCAGACCTTTATCAACAACTGTCTTCGTTCTATACTGAAGATCAGATGGCCGGAAAGAATCACCAACAAGAAACTATGGAACAAACAAAACAAGAACCAATCGCCCAACAAATATGCAGGAGAAAGTGGAGATGGATTGGACACTCGCTGAGGAGGCCGCTGGGTGACATCGCGCGTCAGGCCATAGCTCGAGTGGAACCCGAAAGGGAAGAGGCGAGTGGGACGTCAGTGCAAGGGTGACATGGAGGAGATCGTGTGAAGAAGAGTTGAAACAGTATGGACTAACATGGATGCAAGTGAAAAGTACAGCAGAAGACAGAAGCAAGTGGAGACGTGCAGTTGAAGCCCTATGTTCCACTAGGAACCCAAGGGTGGAACATAGGACTTCAGGCTTACAACCTTGAAGTCTCAGTAGACATAATATTGTTTTTTACCGAGGTCAGATGCTAGCCTCATGCCCAACCTTCCCATTTTCCTGCACCATTAAATTAAGTGAGGTTTGTAATTGCATCGACCTGAAATTGAACCTTGAACCACCTGGGTAGTTGGCGATCATTCTACTCTTGAATCGCCTATGTACGTCTAGTAGCGAGATTAAGCTAGACAAAAAATATATCAAGTTGTCCAATAAAGAAACAGATAAGATAAAATAAAAGGAAAACATTGTTCTTTTTTTTAATAAACTTACTAAAACGCAGAAACAAATCACGATGAAATGGTGCCTTGAAATTAATTTCCAATGTTGTTACCCATGGGGTGATTCCTGGGAATCTGGCACTGAATTGATTGGCTTCAGTTAAAAAATTCACAAAAGAACCAATACCAAATATTCCATGCGGATGATAACCAACTAGATAGTTTTTAGTTGTAGGGAATAATTCTTTTACACAGGCTAATTCTTTTCTATCTATTGAATAGTCTTGATTGTTATCGCTCGTTTCACTACTACTAGTTGCATTGACTTCAGTTTGTAGTTGTCCATGAGCATCACTGTTGCATAATTCACTCAGTACAAGTTTTATAGGGAAATAACTAGCTAAATACTTCCAAATAATTAAATTTCGAATAAATTTTTTTGGATGACCACCTCTTTCTTCAGCGCCTTTATCAATTCGCCAATATATCCAATAGGTTGTAACGAATATAAATAAGGCCAAAAAATGCTTCATTGAATGCAGTACTTCTTCATGATTAATTATTTCATAAGGATTATTCATTAACTCTTTATTTTTCATGAATTCATTACCAATTGTATAGGATAATTTAAATAATTTAATTATTGAATAAATCCATATTAACCAGCATGTTGTTGCACAGAATACAAATGTTATGACAAAGGATAAAACGCTTAAATATTGAAATATTGTTTGTTTTAACTGAATACACCGTTTATGTTGAAGTAGATTCGAAAAAATAGGGAATATTTTTAAACAATATGCATACATTGTGTTTTTAGATGCTTGTTATTATTTCTTTTCTTGTCGCTGTAGTGAAATGAATGTATATATATTTATAATTTAAGTACAATATCTTTGTAGTATGCTTTTGTTAAACACAATGACAATAGAATAAAAATGTCTGATCACTTCAGTGCATCGTTTGTATGAACTGAAAAATAGCACCAAACTATTTTATATATAGCGCTAATTTAATTTTTTTTCACTACATAACTAAAATGTATACATCATGTTGAAATTTGATTGGCACATTGGACAAAAGTTAATGAGTGGGTGGTAGTAGGTAAATGGCCTTTATTTGTTTATATATATATATATATATAAGTGAAATTAATAAATGATAATTATTATTTCATTTGAAACTTTATTAAGTATTTTAATTTAATGTTTTTATTTGAAAAATCTTTTAAAATAGTCAATAGTCAGTTAAGTTACAAGTGTAAGTGGTTAAATGCCAATTGATTACTGAATATTATTCAAATTAAAACAACCAGTCCCTTTGATAAATTTGGAAATATGGCATTTAAAAGACAAAATTCGCGAGATAATAGATATCATTTCGTAGTTTCTTTACAATCGCTTTACAACTCACATGGTTCACTGTCGATGTTACGAATTTCCTGGAATAATTTGAGCTTCAAGTCAGATTGTTTCATTATAAATAATTTAAAATAATCCCAGCGTGTTTAAGAAAAAATCAAAACAAGATTTCTCTGAACGTCTCGCTGTGTGTAATCCACAGCTTCTTAAGGAGAATTATTCGGATTTTTATTAATCATTAAAATATATAGTCAAAAATTTTACATAAATTGAAGTCAGTTCATTTGAAGGTCACTGGTCGAGAGATATTTGTACCAGTAGAAATAAATAAGCAGTCATCATATATTTGTAATGACTAATATCAAATTGTCATTGTGCATATGTCTGTATGTGTGTGTGTGAGAGTATATAATAATAGTATGTCCTGTCTCTATAATATGTTTCGCAATAGAAGAGCTAGGTCTCCTGTTCTCATCGTTAATAGGTTCTGAAGATTCCATTTGTTTCTGGAGCCATTTAGGAATATGCTCTGAAGCCCTTACTTGCAGAGATCGATGAGTCCTCCCTATGTATGTGTGTCCACACGTACATTCAAATTGGTAAATACAGTGGGATGTGACGTCATTTTTCGCATGTTTGAAGGGCTTAGATAGATATATAAATATGTAAAGCCAATATATCTATCTAAGCCCTTCGAACATGCGAAAAATGACGTCACATCCCACTGTATTTACCAATTTGAATGTACGTGTGGACACACATACATAGGGAGGACTCATCGACCTCTGCAAATAATAATAGTAATTTGCTTTATTCCAGAAACAGTACTAGTGGTACAGTGTGGAATTTTCAGCACATATCTACAATATTTGCATCTAATTTTAACCAACGTTTAAAAGGAGTATTTTCAAAATAAAAAAATAAATATAAAGACAACAACAGCAAAAAAAACACAAAAAACACAAAATAATTTTGAAAATAAATGCGAAAAAATACCAAGAAGTAGAAGGGAAAATAAACAGCATATAATAATATCTCAGTATTGGGTAGTGGAAGCTATGATATGATTATGCATGGTGACAGTAAAGCTATAGTCATACAAGAAGTTATGAAATGATATTTAAGAATGTTTATCGCCAAGATGATCAGTTAATTTGGTTGAAACAACTCTAAACAATCATAAAATAACATTTCAGGGTTGTTGTTTTGTTTTTTATTGTCAGGTCTAATGCAGTGTTTGTAGTGGTAGTGTGAGCAATCCTGAATAATACAAAATTTTTAAGGTGGTGATAATGACGTTCACAACCAATGATTGTCAGTTAATATTGCCGAAAAAAATTTTAAAAAATAAGAAAAAACAACCACAAAACTAATAATTACATGATGGTTAATGACAGGACAATTTTGTAATACTCATAGTGCTAATATAGTCGGAACCAGTAGATACACAGAAGAAGGAATACAGTAAAGTACAAAAAGTAAGCCAATGTTAATAATTTAGGTAGCTAAGTATGTTTAAGGAGGAGTTCACTATAGAATACAAAATAAGAGAGAAATAAAAGAGCCTAAAATTATGTTATTAACAACAAAGCAAGTCATAGGTTTCGCGCTTAACATTGTCTCTGTCGCTTAGAACATGGGCCAAGTATGGTATCGTTGAGTTCCTGTAATTGGTTGTACGAGCATAGATTATTTTATACTGATTTCTGGTTCTACTTGATGAGATACAAGGTGAGAGTTGGGAATAGAAGGGGTGTTGGGGGTCTGAGAGTATGGTTTTAGACCATTTTTCGCATGTATTCAGATGGCTTTCAACTAATGTAGTGACGAGCTGACTGAGTTTTACACCACTAGTCCTACTAACTACCTTCAACATCCCTCTCAGGATGGTATAGTCCTTTTTCAGTAGACCAGGAAAGACTAAAGGGGAGCAGTAAAGTAGAATAGGTAAGATACGAGAGTTGACAAATTGTGAAAGTAGAGGTTGGGTGATTCCAGATTGTCTAAGTTTCCTAATGTAGTAGGTTGGACAGAACACTTTCTTAGAAATGGTTAGGATATGAGATGTCCAAGTAAGGTCGGAAGAAAGAACTAGACTAAGGTATTTTGCATTAGACTCAGTTTCAGTTTTAGTCCCCTCAGTGCAACAGGCTTCATGAGAACTTACTAGTGTTTGTACATCTCGTTTATGCCTAAGGGAGAAGTCAATAGTCTGGCATTTTGAGGGATTCAGCATGAGACCGTTTAGTTTAAACCACTGACTGATGTCCGACAGGAAGCCATTTAATTTGAAACAGTCTGACTGAGACTTAATGGGAAACGATACAGACAGGTCATCTGCATATTTGACGAAGTTGATTTCATCTGAAAGAGGTAAATCATGTAAGAAGAAGGAAAAGAGAAACGGAGAAAGAACAGCACCCTGAGGAACTCCAGCTTCAGTAAGCAATGGAGAGGAAGATGCACCATTATATACCGTGTACTGCATCCTATTAGAGAAGTAAGAGTGTAGCCAGTTGATAGCCCAGGGCTCAGTTTGTGTAAGGCTAAGCTTGTTTAACAATAGGCCTCTAGGTACAGAGTCGAAAGCAGATGTATAATCAAGGAACGTACAACGGACATACATTTGTTATTTGTCACATGGAAAGGATGTCAATTCACATGTGATAAACATGATAATATTTTTATAAAGATCACAGAGGTTGGAAGCATAGGTTTATGCACAAATGCGCGACGCTCTCATGCTATATTTGTCTAAAGGGATGTTTGAGATTGCATATTCCTCATTTAAGTAACTAGGACATTAACTATTAACTAACCATTTGTATTGCTATAAAATAGCAGTTGTTAAAAAGTTTTATAAATCTATAAGGTTTGTTTACATTCCTATTAGAAGGCATAGTTTAAAACACGTGGAAAGTGATGTAAATTAATGTAATTATAATAATTAGATGGTAAAGATTAGCCTTTCATCTTTGAATGATTCTAATTTATCATCAAGGTAACCTGTCCTCATGAAGAGTTAAAAACACAGAATTTTAATTTGTGTGTATCCCCCCCACATACCTATCAAGAATACATTAGATTCAACAGTCATCAGAAATCCATTTGCATATCCGTAGGTGCAAATCCAGTCTTGGCCTTCAAAGTTAAACGTCCATATATACACATATAATTTACAAATTTACATCGAAAAATATAAACAGTTGACGCCATACTTAAGGTGGAATAGAATAACCGAACTTAAAATCGCTCCATGAACAATCCATTTACAATACCGATATTTATTTGGGTATTTCAGCTGACTTTTTAATTACTATCCATCCAATCACGTGTCCCTGAACTAGAACGAAATGTTGACTTACGAGCTCACGCAGTCCACGATTTAGAACAAGAACTACGCCAATCGTTCGAAGAATATGTCGAAGAAGTTGCACAGAAACAATGTGAGAATGTCAAGTCAAACCTTATTAAAAGCCTGAAGCCGACGAGCGACCCTGAACGTTCATTCCCAAGCAATCCAGAAAAATACGTATTTAACCTCTCAAACATTGAGCTGTCAGAACTTCAACTAGAAGCACTGTCCCTCGGTCCAAAGTTCTGCACAAAACCATCAAAAATCCAAAAACTTCAAACCCAAGTTCAGTTCGAAAACTTGATAAACCAAACATATGATCTATCACCAACTTCCGAAGAGAACCTGCAACAGTTCAGGTCGGTAGTCCTCGACAGCTGCCATAAATTTATGAATACCAAACCAAATGGAAAGTCAATACTGACCAAAAAACACTATAAAGAGCTCAAATAATTAATAAACAACAAAGATATTATTCTATTACGCCCGGATAAAGGTGGGGGAATCGTAGTCATGAATCGTGAAGACTACATAAGTAAAATGCTGACCATCCTATCCGACGAATCTAAATTCATAAAACCAGCAAACGAAAAGAACATGACGGAACAAACTGAACAAAAACTAACGAACCTTCTCCGAAAACTAAAGACTGAATCATTCATCAATCTTGAAACCTTCGAATCGTTGAAACCGTCGGGCTCAAATATACCCCGGCTATATGGACTACCAAAGGTGCACAAGAAAAACGTACCTCTTCGACCCATTCTCGATATGACTAATTCACCTTATCACAGTACCGCACAATGGCTAGTAGACATACTAGAACCAGTCAGAAAGGAAATCTCCCGCCACTCACTTCGAGACTCCTTCGATTTTGTCAATTCCATTGAAAACGTCAGCGTTTCCAATCAAACCATGTTCTCACTGGATGTGGTATCACTGTTTACAAACGTCCCACTAACCGAAACAATATGCTATATATGTGAATATATTGATTCAAAGGAGATGAACATTGGTATACCCACGGACTATTTGAAGGAACTCCTATTAAGATGTACTCTAAACGTCCAATTCACTTTCAATAATGAAATATATAGACAAAAAGATGGTATAGCTATGGGCTCACCACTCGGCCCGCTGCTTGCAGATATTTTCATGTCAAAACTAGAAAATACACACCTAAAGAAGACAATAGATAACTTCAGGTTCTACAAGAGATACGCGGACGATACCTTTATTATCGCCAATAATGAGGAAAATTTGGAGAACATATTGGACTTCT